ACTGCAGAGCAGTGAGCGACGAACATGGTGAGCGATTTCACCAGGACATTGCAACAATGGAGAAACGCTTTCAGGGCAAATGGAGCCCATCAATGCTTGCAGACTATTGCTGGATAGTGACAAGAGATGCTCCATTTAATGAATACAAGAGACAAGCCAAGAAGCGCCAAGTAGACACTGAATAGGACTAAACTATGTACATAATAGTTTTTTGCCTTTCGTTTCATAATAAATTTTATTTATATAACCCTTTTGCTGATTTTTAAAGTGTTACATAAACAGGACAGGTGAAATATTATCATGTAAAGCAACCATAAACACATGAAAAGACCTAGGTTTACACTTTATGATGAAAACTCTACTATCTACACAATATACATCGACATAAAATGTAAAAACTTAAATATCTTAGAAACAGTAGCCAGTTGTTTTAATTGTCATATTTGAATTCAACACAGCAAAATACATAATAAATAGCACATTTTATCTCTGAAGCAGACGACTTCTCAAAAATTGTAGACCAGTGTAATATTACCTTGATAACATCAAGATTGAGGAGGTTTTTCCATCTTGATTCAGACAGTGACGACAAGGTCACTAGCTGCTCTTCCAATTGCTCTGGTGAATTATAGTCTATCATTTCATCGCTTGTTTCTTCATCTCCTGTGATGTCCACATCTTTCAGAGACAAATTTAATTTATAAACACATGTAAACCAAAACAAGTTGTATCAGCACTGATGTAGGACATTTACATGAAAATATATTTGAGTTATGGAGATCATTTTAAATACTTTGTATTAAATAAAATTTAATATTTCAACAATGACAAACCATTGTAGGTAACCTAGAAGCAGGGAAACTTGAAAAGATTAAAAAAATTGTTCAGGTACCAGTTTGAGATCAGCTGCATTAGATCAAAATAAAGTTAATTTGACAGTGTTTTCTAGTTTCTTGACTACTCTTAAAATTTTGACAGGATGAACAAAAATATTACTCAAATATTTGATGTTACTGTCTGTGTAATATATTAAAATAACAAAAGTGATTGGCTAGCACAGTTACATGTGCCTTTCAGAGTAGCTGTTGATAATCCAAATATATATTATGGCAGCAAACTGATTTATGGTCTGTGTGTGTGGAGAAGCAGACGGGGCAACCGAGAGAAGGGGAAGGGAAATGTTTACTAATTATGGGACTCTGCTGATAATCTTTAGACTCTATCCATCTACTGAAGTGTGTACAATATTTATAGAATTGCTCATAGACAAATATGCATACAATTACATACATGAAAGGAAAAATATAGTCTTATCATTAATGCACTCTAAGGAGATCTGGGTTCTGTCCCTATGTCTGCCTCAGTCTCCCCGTGTGACTGAGCAAGTCATGTGATCCAGAAGCAGGAACTAATTTTAGTGACTAAGGTTAGTGTGCTACATTTTAAAACAGTAATTTCCCCCGAGATGGTAGAAAAGAGTCCTTATTTTAAATTATAAGCAAATTTTTCCTGTTACATGAATTTCTTTGTGGTCAAAAATACTGAATTGTACACTGAGAAAATTAAACGTCTGCTATTTGAGGTTCGTTACACAACTAGGAATAAGCCTCTTTCATCCCATGATTACCTTGTGCAGGGCAAGTTCCTGGAAGCATTATTACAGAAGGCTCATAATCTGCTGGAAGTGGCCGTAAAGAGACAAGCGAATACAAGGAACGGTTAGACCTGAATAATTGAGACAGATGACATATTAAAAACATTATTCCAATTTTTTTCAGACAAACGTGGACAATTATTTTAAACAGTGTTTTTTAAATTTCTGATACTACTACGATATGACAAATCACTGACTTTCTTTCTCAAAGTTAGATTTACTCATCTCTACAAAAACTAACACAAAGTTCAAAACTTGGAAAAAGTCTTCTGTAAAATATTGGTACAAGTGAAAAAACTTCCAAAGCACATTTCAAGAATAAGCCATTATTACAAATGACGTTATTTCTACTACCATGTAAATTGCAGCACATTTTAAATTTCTTGTTCTCTAGAATGTGTGTTTATTATGTTGAGTGGAGGACAAGAGCTGGGATTTCTGGCGCTGATATACTGTGTCATTTCACTTAATCTTTGCAGTTTCTCTCTAAAAGTTAGACTTACCCACCCGAAGAGACTGTTTTTAGGCTTAATGTTTGTAAAGTTCTTTACATTTACACTCCTTGTACAAGGATTTCCCATATTATGATTAATTATTATTAAGATCATCATCATCAAATAGCAATTATTCCTCCAATTTCTATGACCAGCAGAAATATGCGTGAAGGAAGCTTGTGACAAATAAGGCCTAATCTATACTTAAAATGTTTTACTGGCATAGTCCTGATGATTAAAATATAATTTTTTGCTAACCTAGCTATACTGGCAAAAGCCCTAGTGAAGACACACCTACACCTGCAAAATTAAGTCCATTTGAATGGTTTAGCTTAGTTCACTCCGGGAAACGGTATAAACTATAATAATCCAAAGGACCTTTTTGCCGGTATATACTGAATCTGCACTAGAAGAGTTTGCCAGTACTGTTATATTGGCAGTTTTTAAAGTCACCTAAAACAGGGAGGAAGCCTATCACCACCCCTATATCTGCCCAGCAGTTCCTATTGCTCCAAACCACCCAATCATGTCTCCCCTGTCCCTCCATCAAATCTTGTCCCCAGGCAATCCTGTCACCCCCAGATCTCCCATCAATTCTGCTCTCACATCTATTCTGCCCTCTTCAGCCCCTCTCGTCTGGTCCTCCTATAGCTCCTGCATTTCCACACCCTCCTCCTCCCAGGCTTGGTGGGGGACGGGTTGCAGCAGGGCCCCCTGTGACGAAGTGGGACTGTTCTTAATGTTTTCTCTGAATACTGTGTGGGTGCCTCAGTTTCCCCTATGCATTTCTTAAGTCTCTAGGAGGTGGAATAAAGGCCAGTGTGCATAAATCACTGACACTATCTCCTAGCAACAAATGGACAGGGCCCTTCCCCCCTGCAAGGAAATAGCTAAAGGTGAACAAAGAGACCAGGTGACCTCCTGGCCCGGGAAAGAGACAAAGCCCAGAGGAGGAGGGGCTGGAGGGGGTTTTCAGTTTGGAGGTGGCTGGGGACTAGGAGTGAGGGCAGACGGGGGTGTCTCGCTCGCGTGGGGTGACCGGATAGCCATGTAAAAAACCAGGACGGGGGTGGGGGTAATAGGAGCCTATAGAAGAAAAAGACCCAAAAAAATCGGGACTGTCCCTATAAAATCAGGACATCTGGTCACCCCAGAATGGACCCGGCGGAGGGGTTCCGTTCACTGGACCGACAAGCTCTGTTTTAGACTGTGTTCCTGTCATCTAATAAACTTCTGTTTTACTGGCTGGCTGAGAGTCACATCTGACTGCGAAGTGGGGGTGCGTGCAGGACCTCTGGCTTCCCCAGGACCCCGCCTAGGCGGACTTGCTGTGGGAAGCGCACGGAGGGGCATATGCTGAATGCTCCCAGGAGAGACCCAGGAGGTGAAGCCGTGTGAACTTCTTGCCCTGAAGACAGTCTGCTCCATGGGAGAGGAGGCTCCCCAAAGTCCTGACTAGCTTTGTGGGGAGCAGCTCCAGAGCATCGCCCAGGGACTCCGTGACACCCCCCCCCTCCCTTTCCGGGGTGTTGCAAGGAAGGAAGGAGGAACGAAGGAAGAAGCAAAGGCGCCTTCCATTGGAGAGGACAGGGAAGGAGGGAGTGGAACCATCCTGAGCTACTGGGCTTTCTGCTCCTCTTTCTCCTCCTGAGACTAAGCTGTAGTGAGGAGAAATTTTTAAAAAGGAAAATATCAGCTGATTGTTAGGAAAGTGTCTAAATCATGAGATATTTAATGGTAGAACTGTCCCCCTAAGAACAGAAGCCTTTTGAGAGTTTTGAACTGGAAAAGACAAAACAATGGAGAATATACTGAAAGGAACAATTCTTAATTTGCAGTAGAAGGGTAGGGTGATTTAATAGGCCTTTTTCCATCTCCAATTTCCGTAATTCTATGCCCAAGTAGGCAGATTTCTGAATACTTGTTAAAACGTATTATGTACTCACCATAGATAAATTCCAAGATCATCTACATGTGATGAAGCTAGAAAGTCTCCAGTAGGAGACATAGAAATGCTGATAGCTGCTGAGTCTAACAAAAAACAATCTATGAGGCTATGAAAAAAACAAACAAAAAGGATTATATACAGGGCAATGAATTCATTTTCTTAACTTTCACATTTGCACTTAGATTATGGAAGCATACATACAAACTAGATTTTTTCAAATAATCCAAGGCCTGGTCCCCACTTAGTCCGGACTTCGGACTAAG